GGCTCATCCAGACTTCCTTTAGTGCTGTGTTTCTAGGCACAGGACCATACTTCAAACCTGAATTTCTGTTTGTTCCAGAGCAGGTTTTCATGGGGATAGCGCCAGGGCAAAAGGTAAGGGTCGATGAGCCCTAACTTGAGGATGTAATGAAAGAGTACTGAATTCCTTAACTACCTGAAATATTTGTCTTAGAAGAACCTTCAGGTTTCATGTTACCTTTTCTCAAATATATGTTTGATTTGTACATGAGCTAAGGAAAGTGGCAACGTAAGCCTGCCTATTATGATAATTAACAGAAGCCCTTCTGCCCGCCCTTTAAATTCATGCCTCAGTAGCAGTGGCGTAGCGTGGGGGGTGCAGGGGGGCTGGCCGCACCGGGCGCAACATCTGGGGCGGCGCGCTCGCACTCGCAGCTCTCTGCCCCTACTGGGTTAGGGGGTACAAATTACTTGCCTTGCCCCGGGTGCTGACAACCATGCTACGCCACTGCTCAGTAGGGGCAACAGAGAGGTCATTTTCCCAGTGGTGGCAGCACCCAAGTTCTGGAACTTGCAGCCTAGAGGGGTCTGCCTCACTTCTTCCTTGGCAGGTCTTCTGCTGCAGTGCAAAGACCTTTCTTTTTAGGAATCCTTCTGTTCTTCCTGCCTACATTGAGGCCTGCTTGTTTGCTTTTCACCAATGTTCTTAATTGTTTCATCTGCTGGTCTTCTCCTGTTTTATCATTTGTCATTCTTTTGTATTACTGTTGTATTTGTATATTCCGTTCTCAGCTGCTTTGACCTCTTTAGGAAAAGGGATATAAAGGTTTTCAGTAAAATAACACCTTAAGGAATAGCTAGAACTACAGTAACTCTTTAGCAGGCAGTTTTCTCATTAATAGTAGATTTACCCAGAGAGTAAATCTTTGTGTAACAGATGCATAGGCGCCGACTCCATGGGGCCTGAGGGGGCCCGAGCTCCCTCAAAAATTCGTTTGGGGGGGGCTCCGCCCCCCCAATAATCTCGGGCGCCCCTCCAGCAGAGCGCCGCCGCCGCCCCTCCCCCAGCCCAAAATGCACAGGGGTGGGCTGCATGCCTCCTGCCCTCCCTCCCGAGCAAAAGCTCCACCCAATTTCCTTCGGAGCTGATTAATAGGCGCAGCACGCTCTCCCCTATTCGCTCACGAGGAGGCGGCGCCACTTTATCTGCATATTCATGAGCTTATTTATTATTCATGAGCTTTCGCGGGCTTTTTGGCCACGTGATTCCATTTCGCGCGGAATTCGGGCTGCGTCCGGCGCTGTGAGCAGGAAAGGGGGAGCGGTGAAGAAAAGCGGCAGAGATGGCGGTGAGTAGGCGCTGGACTCGGGGGCTGCACACGACTGCATTGCGGGGGGTTGGGCTAGATGACCCTGGGAGTCCCTTCCAACTGATTCTATGGTTCTCCCGGTTGACGCTGATAAGAGTTTCCTTCCCCCCATCTGAGACCTCCCTCGGGCCTTTTGTCTTCTTCCCATTGTGGCCGGCCTGGGGTGCTGCGGAGGAATCTTACTAAAAGAACCACCCATTTGCTTGGGAGGGTGTTTGTAAGCTGACGGCGTCTGCACCCCAACTATGTTCTGTGGTGGAGGGAGGGAAGGAAGTGGACTTTTTGTCAAACGCCAGCCTGCAAAATACCCCACCCCATGCACGAGCCCAGTCCTCGCTTGGAAGGGGCGAATCTGTGTCCCGGCTGCACCACTTCAGAACGCAGGGGCAATTTGCGTGTGGAATTAAGTTTCCTTTCCTTTTTTTTTTTCTTTCATGATGCTCCTGAATTTTAATGCCACATAGAAAAATATAGAAACACAACACTTGTATTTTTAAATAGAAAATATTGTAATCTTTTACACAAGTTAACAAATCCTACATTTGTTTGGAATCAGTCAAAGATTAGAAGGCAGAGACTTGGCTGCTCTTGCATCCGCTGCCTCCCCCTTTTACATGGGGGGCACAGGAGACTCAGTATGCCCCTGCACAAACCCAACTGAGGCAGGCCACTGTGGACTGCTGCTTCTATGACTTACAAGCTTTCAAAATGCACCAACTTCTTTGGCAAGCAACAGAAAAGGGAACAGGGAATCTGGAAACCTCTGCAGCCCTCTGGTTAATCCAGGGCCTCCGCAGGTGAGCACTCCTAACGTCCTTGGGCAAAGATGTAGCAGCCCACAAGAGCAAAAAGCACTGCGATCCTTCTGAGTCTTCGCCCAGGCATCCACTGCAGATTCTGCCTTGGATTCAGTCTTCAGCTGAGCTGTAGCATTCCTCGTCCCTCACTTCTCTGTAGTTGCCCAGCGTCTCCCCTCTGGCTCATAGCTGGCCATCTGAGGGCCTAGTCTGCCTGCAAGCTTCTGGGCTGCAAGTTTGGCTAGCATTTCCTCATAAGCTTCCTTTTGTTGGATCTGAATCACTATTGAATCTTCTAGGGATAGCAGCTGCGTAGGCTCGTGATGCAGAGGGGGTAACCGAGCGGCTGTGATGTCATCCAAGTGCTTCTTATCTCTGTGGCGTCTTTCCTCTGCAGAAAGGGAAGAGGGGGCACCTCTAGGTGAAGGGATATCTGGGGAGCCACAAGACGATCCACATGACTCAGCCAGCAATACATTAGCTTTAAATTTGCTTCTTTTTGCCACAGGGTTCTTCGCTCTCAGTTCCAGCACTTCCATGTAATGTGGAGTTTTGGGTGGTGTGTTTGGAAAGTTCTGAAAAGCACGGCCTTTACAGTCAAAACTCTGCCCATTTTCAGAGTTCTCCTCACTCTCTCCCCCTCCAACTGAAATTCTTTCGAAGGCATCCACCAGTGCTTCACTGCTGCTGCTTGCAGATTGTGCTGGATTTTCAGCTTTGTCTAGAGAATTCTGCTTGGGAGCCTCCTGAGCATCTTTTGGAAGCCTGGCTATTGACACCTCCAAAAGATTTTTGCTTCCTTGAGGAAAACTGGTGTCCTCAGGGGCTTGTCCTACTAATGCACTTCTGTTTGCTTTGCTTCTTTTCTTGGTCCGGACACTTTGCTTGTTCTGCAGAGATGATTCAATCTCATTGTAGTGACGTTCAGAAATAAGAGGTGGGTCTTGGCATGTTGACTTTTTCCTGACATCCCCTTTTTGTTTGCTAGAGTTGATTGCCTCTTGTTTTTCCTGGAACTCTAATCTAACAGCAGATAGAAGCTCAGTTGTTCTCTGCAGCTCTTCCTCTTGTGCAATGGCAATCTTCAATTTCTCAACGAAGTTGGATATCTTTTTACCTTTATCCGGAAGCCTGGATACAAATTTCCGGTCCCCCAGCAGCTTCTCCTGCCGACTCAGCATCTCCCGCAGCTCCGGCAGGCTCCGGCCTCGCAGCTGCTCCGGCGCCGGCGCCGCCATGCCTCGCCCGGGGAGGGGAGGCCCGCATGGTCCCGGAGGCAGGAGGAGGGCGTGCGGGGATGGACACAGCAGCGGCACCTCCCGAATTAAGTTTCCTTTCAAAATCTATTCCCTGCGTGTAAACAAGCCTCCTCCCCACCTGCTCCCTCGCCAGCCAGCCAGCCAGCCCGCGCACCCTAGCCGGAGAGCCCCGGCCGTCCCCGTCGCGCAATCGGCTGGATCTCCCTTCAGCAGGCCGTGCTCACAACTCGGCCCAGGGACCCCCCAGCAGCGGATCTCCGGCCCAGCTGAAGAATCCGGCAACAAGCCCCCTCCTCCCCAATCACTCCGCCGAAATACGCTCCAAAACCCCCCAGATAGGCCACCGGCCGCCAAGTCTCGTGGCGCCCTGAGCGAGGGTCTCTCCCCAACACCGCCACCTCAAACTGCGTTCTCCCGGCTACCCGAGCGAACCAGCGGCAGGACCCCGGTATGGGCCCCCCAATATTTTTTATAAGTCGGCGCCCCTGAACAGATGATCTCAATTCATCATTCTGCAAGCATTTTCTGGCAGGCAAATCAAAAACTTTTGGCTTTAGGTTAGACTTGGGATGGCCAGAGCAAGAGATCACAGATCTATAAGGATCAAATAGAATATGAAGATATACATTCAGATCCATGTTCCTACATCAAGGCCAGCAAGGAAGACAAAGCATCTGTAGCTGTTGGCAAACACTTATTAGCTTGTATGGAAAACAAAATTGCCACTCATTTTTTATTTTCTTGCTTAAAAACATACACACAAAAAGTAAAAATTAACATAAAAGATAAAATAATAACAGGAGAAGAAACAAAAACATGTATACAAATTCCCCCTGTGGCTTCCCTCCCCCAGAGCTCAACATTCTTTATTTTTTACAGTCTTTTTAATATTGCATCTTTCATATCTTAGCCCTGAAGTTCCTAATATATTTCAGCTTTACATACTTAATCTATGCATATTAGCATGTTATCTTTTGACCAGTCTTTTTTCATATAGTCTTCAAAACATTGCCATTCACTCCCTAGTTTCTGATTTGTCTGGTGTCTTATGGCAGCTGTTAACTTTGCCAGTTCTATATAATCACATAATTTATTTAACCAATCTTCTTTTGTGGAATGGTACCTCCTTTCCAATTTTTTGCCAGTACAGTGGAACCTGAGTTTAATGCAGGTGGTCTGCAGCATGTCTGTAGATTTGTGGTTGAAGGGAGATAGCACACCCACTGTATTTAATTTTTATGTTGATATTTTAATTGCATTTTTAGTGCTTTTATATATTTTATTTTATTCTAAATTCTATATAATTCAAATTGTGATGCAATAAAATACAATATATAAAAAGAGGGGGGGGGGATACAATTAAGAATCATACAACATCTGGCACAGCACACTACAATTGCGCAGCAGGCAGAAAAACCATTAAGTGGTCCATCGAGACCCCCAAAGATTCTCAAGAGGTTTGTGGTGAAATGCTTTTGGGAACCACTCACCTCTAAGCTCTCCAGGAACTGGAGCAGCCCATCTAGTAAAGGTCAATTCAGATTAAGCCCACTAAATGTTGAGCCACTAGCTCCGTGGTGGGCAAGCTATGGCCTTGCAAATGCTGCTGGATTCAAACTCCCAGGAGCTCTGGCAAGCGTGGCCAGTGCTGAGGGAGGACAAGATTCGCAGTCTTGCAACTTCCAGGCAGGTTTTTCATCCCTGCACTATCTAAGCCAGTAAGGACCAACTTTCCCTGGGGTAGTCCAGTTCCTTCAGGAGCATTTACAGATAATTAAGTGCTTTCTTTATACAGTGGTACCTTGGGTTAAGAACTTAATTTGTTCCGGAGGTCCGTTCTTAACCTGAAACTGTTTCTTAAACCTGAAGCACCACTTTAGCTAATGGGGCCTCCCGCTGCCGCCGGAACACGATTTCTGTCCTCATCCTGAAGCAAAGTTCTTAACCCGAGGTACTATTTCTGGGTTAGCAGTGTCTGTAACCTGAAGCGTATGGAACCTGAAGGTACCACTGTATTTCACTGTTCTTTAATTTTACATTGTTAAGAAAATCTAGTGCTGCATTTCCCACCTTGTGGCTCACCCAGTGCTCCTCACCTCCACGACCTGCTTGGTGCTTTGCATCCCCATCTCCTGTGTTGCCGTTGTTGGTAGGTAGCAAAGCCAGGACATCTATTGAGTCCTTGGCAGTCTGTGATCTGTGACTGGTCAGCAACAGAGTTTGGCTTGTTTAGTTGCAATTTCTGCAAACCTAACCCAGTTTCTTTATTATGCAGTAATGAAAGTGCCCAGTACCTCACCTGGGGTGAGTTCACCTGGGCTAACCTCTTTTCCAGCCCTTCTGTTACCTTGAGATAGCCTACTCTGCATGAATGAATCCTTACAGTATTATTAGTGAGAGTGTCTTAATTAGCAAGTTCACAACTCTGAAAACCTCAGGTGGAGGGTATAAGAAAAGAAAATGTTTGAGAAACAGCCCAGTTTAGTAGCTCATTAAGTTTTCAATTAAGTTTTTCAATCAGGACCTTTATGCTGTTGGCTCAGCCTATGAGATTTTGATGCTTCCTTCCTTCCTTCCAATCTGAGTTGGATGTAGAGGATCTTAGAATTTTGGCATTCTTTTGCAATGTGCTCCCACATCCTGAAACAGCCCAGGCCCTGAGATATGTCAGTCAGGAAACATCCTGGGTTTCAGGTAGAGTGGGGCTGGAACTGGCGTTTTGCCACTTTAGGGGGCTGCTGCAACTGCCTTTTAGGGTCAAGCTAGATGGGATGCTTGTGCCCGTATGTTTTCCACTGTGGGACAAACAGCAGGTTTGGGGGTAGGATTGAGATGATATAGGAGATGATATAGGAGGAAAGGGTTAAACTCTCCTCCTGTAATGTTGCCTCCTCATTACAATTTCTCTCCTGCTTCAAACCAGGCGTTACAATAAATACATATTTGGTATTGGGAAGGGAGGGTATAAGAGAGGAAGGCTGTTGTTGGAGGAAGAGGAAAATGTAAAATGAACAGGTTGGAATAATGAAAGAAATACGCGATTTGCAGGAGAATAGGATACGAGCTACCATAACTGTGAAAGGAGGGGGAGAAGCAATTACAGGAGATGAGTAAATGTACTTTGAGAGGCACAGGGAAATATAAAATAAAAGGTGAGGGCAGGGGGTGGCTAACTTGCGACCCTCCAGGTGCCAATGAACTTTTACCACCCTGAACCATTTAGTGACATCCACATACTTGGCCAACCTGCTGTTTGCCTCCTCATTCCAGGTCTTATAAGAACAAGTTCAGCAGCACACGTCTCAGTGCTTCTCCTTGGGGGAATCCCCTTCTTATACCCTCCAATGGGAGATCTGCCCATTCTCCTATTCTCACCTCCTTGCTTTAGCCAGTTACTGAACCATAAGAGGATTTGTCTGTCCACTTATCCCATGACTGCTATGCCTAGCCTTTGGTGTGGCACTTTATGGAAAGATTTCAGAAAGACGTGAGTGTAGTGCCATATAAAAAGAGGATGCAAAATAGAATATTGACATTTTGGTTTCCATCTAAGATAGTGGGCATCAGCACTTTTTTTTTGGTCATGAATTCTGAAGTCAGTCTTGATTGCGTGAAGTCATTTGCACTGTTGGTGCAAGTGAATTTTATTGGGTGATCCTGGGTCCTACCAGAGAGAAATCCAAATCATAATCTCTCTTAATTCATTCAGTTGCATAAACTTTTGCCATATCCCCACTTTGCAGTTTCCCCACCCCAGACTATAAATCCCCACCTGCTTTAGCCTTTTCTTCTATGGCAAATACCCCAGTGCCATCCCTTTTGTTACCTTTCACAGGTGCAACCCAACATAGCCAGCTAGGAAGACATGATGTCATAGAATCATAGAGTTGGAATAGACCACAAGGGCCATTGAGTCCAACCCTCCTGTCATTCCCTCTCCATTCTTTTCTTTTGCCTCTGAGTTCAGTTGGCTCCTCCCTGAAGTGGGAACATGTAGCATCTCTCTGGTGGTCTGGTTTGGTCCAAGGGCTTCCAGTTGCTGAACCCAGTTTTAGAGTATTCTTTGTGCCTTGCTATTTCATTCTGTAAGAAGCTGGCTTTGGTTGACAGATATTACTCTTGCCAAGTAGCCTGTTAGCAGAACAGTCCTGTGCAGAGTCCTTCTGCGTTCCAGCTTGCTGTCAGGTTTGCTCATCCACTTAGGAGTTGTCTTTCTGGAATGCAGTGCACCCACAGGAAGCATTTTATTCGCACCATTGGCGAATGAGCCTGGCATGATGATGGGCAGAACTGCAGTTACAAGCCCCAAGTCATCTGCCCTTCTTCATCTCTGAGCTGCAATCTAATCTCTGGCATTATCCGTTGAGGGAGGGAGCTGCCCCATCCATTTGCCATCTCAGGAGGAGTCCCTTGATCCTTTGTTCTTCTTAATGGCCCATCACCTCACCAGGAAGTTAAAGGTAAAGGTAAAGGGACCCCTGACCATTAAGTCCAGTCTGGACGGCTCTGGGGTTGCGGCACTCATCTCGCTTTACTGGCTGAGGGAGCCGGCTTACAGTCATGTGGCCAGCATGACTAAGCCGCTTTTGGCGAACCAGAGCAGCGCGTGGAACGCCGTTTACCTTCCCACTGGTAAGTGCTTTCGAACTGCTAGGTTGGCAAGAGCAGGGACTGAGCAATGGGAGCTCACCCTGTTGCGGGGATTCGAACTGCCAAGAGGCTCAGTGGTTTAGAGCGCTACCCATGTCTCAATACCAGGAAGTTAAAGGTAAAGGTAAAGGTACCCCTGCCCGTACAGGCCAGTCTTGTCAGACTCTAGGGTTGTGCGCCCATCTCACTTAAGAGGCCGGGGGCCAGCGCTGTCCGGAGACACTTCCGGGTCACGTGGCCAGCGTGACAAAGCTGCATCTGGCGAGCCAGCTTAGCACACGGAAACGCCGTTTACCTTCCCGCTGGTAAGCGGTCCCTATTTATCTACTTGCACCCGGGGGTGCTTTCAAACTGCTAGGTTGGCAGGCGCTGGGACCGAGCAATGGGAGCGCACCCCGCTGCGGCGATTCGAACCGCCGACCTTTCAATCGGCAAGCCCTAGGCGCTGAGGCTTTTACCCACAGCGCCACCCGCTATTTAAGCCAGGAAGTTAGCCTGGCTTAAATAGCTGTTAACACTTGCCTTAATTAAAGGGTTAGAAGTGTTTAGCACACAGCTTAATAAACATGGGTCTGTCTTAATTCATGTTGGCATAATAAACACAGGTCTGGCATCCAGTCTAACATCTACTGGAACCAGGAATTTAGGGAAGTTTGGCACCCACAAACTCATACAATCTAAAAATGAACCCCTCGTTTGAGCAAGTTGGAAATGAACATGATTTAATTACATTCATATAATTATTTCAGTGAAAAGAGAAAGAAAAAAGGTTCCTATAGCAGGAGAGATCAGCCTTCCCTAAACTGGTGACCTCCATATATTTTGGCCCAGATGATCATTGGCGGTGCTGTCTGAGACAGATGGGAATTGTATTTTAAAGGATGGGGTTAAAGGCTAATCACCCTGAACCTGGAAGGGTTGAATGCTGCATGTCTAAGTAACTGGGAAATATATATATTTCACAAAAGTGAAAGCTAAGGAATTTGAAAGCCAGGGCAGTAAAGCCCAAATCAAAGGCATAGATTCCTTCTAAGACTCCTGGGACTGTCACCCTCTGATTAATTACTTGATGGGAGTAGAGATGACCCCTGAGATTTATGCTGTATTTAATAATCAGCAATAAACTGGAGAGCAGAGACAACAATACAGCTGATTGATATATCCCTGTCTCCCCTGATAAGGTTTTTAAAATTAGTACTGTTGTGTGTGCATCAGATGAATAAGAAGCATTTTAACCACCATGGAGCCTTGCAGAAGTGGCCAAGCATTTCAGAAACTCCTGAAGCTGCCCAAGTGTGGACCTAATCAGTAATCTGGGTGGAAGACCAGCGGGAATCTCTCGGTCCAACTATAATAAATGAATATTTGCAAATGGACAAGCAGTTTATGTATTCGCACTGTGGTATATTAAATTAAAATAACCAATTATCATGATTCTTGATTGTCAAGGCAGACTTTCTTTTCCTTTTCTCACTGTAGGGTGGACCCCTGGGAATGTTATCAGGATACTTGGCAGACCACCTGCAGTGTACTGGAACATCACCGGGATCTGATGAAAGTGAGTTGATTGCTAAGAAAGATAGAGGAGGCTGGGGGAACCGGGGCAGGTAGCTGAAGAGGTAAGGGGATTTGTTTTAAATATAGACTTAGGTATCGTTGCTTCACTTTCCATTTTTACTTTAATCACAAATTATTAGTACATTGAGGTGTTTTTTGTCTGATGTACATATCTAATTTAATTTCATTGCTGCTGCTACTGCTGCAAGTTGAATGGATTCCTAGGCAATGTTACATAACTCTGCATAAACACAGAATGTTTCATTAGAAATAAAAGTTCAGTATCCAGAGAATTTTAGCTTTCTTGTACAAGAAAGAACTAAAGAGAAAGAAGGAAAGTTTGTAGCCCTTGGGCTTGAAAGTACTTGGGAATGCCTGGTGAAATTGTAGTATATTCAGTACTGGCCAAACAAACAAGCCCCAAAACCTTAGTACTTTGCTATATGTATTCCCTATAAGCATTCAGCTGGCATAAATGCAGCTATATTGTATTGCAATGGTGGCAGTGAAGCCTCTGATCCTGAGTGGTTGAACCAGCAGAGTTCCACACGTTCAGTTTGGAAAGCAGTTTTAGTAAGTGAAGGAACAGTTGCCGTGTGGCTGGGATTAAGATGTTTACACAAAGGAGTCCTCAGTACTGGGAAGAAATGCCCAGGCATGCTGAAGTACAGGGAACCCAGAGGTAAGGAAGCTGTACAGATGATAAAGAGCAGAAAATGAAGTGACAAAAAAGAGGAAGGGTGGTTAAATTTCACACACATTTTTTGCTAGACTGCTCTTACTGTCACTCGCAAAATGTCAGTGCTTAGTATTTTATTATTTGGCATGCACTAGCAAAGTTGTGAGAGGCAGTTCCCCAAATTACCTTGTTCCAGCCAAATTGGGACACTTTGCAGGAACGCTTCATTACTGGGGGAAACCCAGCTCATATTAACAGTTTGGACGTAATGCCAATCCAATCCATGACTTAGCACAAACCAGCCAGTGAACAGGTTCCCAGACTGGCTTCGCTCAGCATCCTCCCCCTGTTTGCTGCTGCCGTGCTACCTGGGGCTGCACCACGGTTTGGCTTTGTATTATGTCCGTACCTCGCACAGTGAGCAGTAAATCAAGAGCAAACCTTGGTTACAGAGAGCTCATGGTTTGTCTGGCATGAGATAAACCACAAGCTCAGGTGTGGATAGAAATCTTCTCTGGGTAGCATGGCAGCAGCAGGACTGGGGAAGGAATATTGTGGCACTACATCAATAGTCTGGGAACCTGCTCATGTGCACAATAAATCTCTCTCCCTCTTCTGGAAATTGTAGCTGTGTGAGGGAAATAGGTGTCTACCAACAGCTCTCAGCACCATTACCAAATTACAACTGCACGACTGGTATGGTGGTATGATACTCCTCCTTAAAATACCCATGCCAACCTCCCAACGCCATTTCACATGTTTCCAACCATTCATTAATGACAAAGACTCTGCTCCGGTGTGCTGATTCAGCTCTTAGAATTCATGCTCAAGAAAATAATTCTAAACACCTTTCTTCTGTTCATCGATCTAGTCCTGGCAAGGAAGGGGGGGAACGGGAGCAGGCAGCCCAGAGTACCAAGCCTAATGGCATTGGGGAATGCGTCAGAGAAGGAGAGAGGCACCAAATCCAATGCTTCACCTGCCAGGAATCATTTATAAGGGTGCTTTGGGCCATTTTCAAAATGGTCATCTGCTGCACTTGCTGCCTGTGCACCCATATATAAACAAATGCATTTGCTGTGTAATCTTTGAGCACTTAGAGATTGAGCAGTGCATTGGGGAAGGCAGTCCAGCAGCAAAAGGTTTTGTTGTATTCAGATCACAGGTGAAATTTCCAAAAGCCAATTTCAAGTTAGCATTTTGCCCCAAATTGTTGACTTCTTAAAATGGACTTCCTTTCCTTCTTATCCTGTCCTTTAATAGAAGAAGAGCAGCTAGATGGATGTCCCAAACAGAACAAGCCCTATACATTTACCAGGAAATGTATGAAAAGGCTCCCACAACCAATGAGTGCAGCCGATTAACATCCATGAATCCTTATGGAAGAGCTTTGTCTAATCAGTGCCAGATTTACGTATAAGCTAAACAAGCTATAGCTTAGGGCCCCACTCTCTTGGGGGACCCCCCAAAAAATTTAAAGGAAAAAACCTGGATGTACATTTCCAAAATATAAGATAAAAAACAAATAAAATAAAACCTACATTAAGCAACAGTGTTTTGTGTTGTGTAGGCTCCTATGATGTAAGTAATGTTATTAATATACTTCTTCTTAATTGTATTTCACTATTAATATACTACTTCTTAATTGTATTTCAGTTCAACAATTACTTTGATAAAATACATATTTTGTTATGTGCAAATGGCTTGAGATACCTATTAGGTCCATCAATTACCATATAGCATATATTCAACACAAAAAACAGCGACAATTTATTGTTGACAAAGGACAGCTGGACATATCAAGGGCCCCATTACCTTCAGTAGCTTAGGCCCTCATCAAACCTAAATCCGGCCCTGTGTCTAATATATCAGGTTCCTCTTCCTTAATGTCAAAGGACATGCTCTGTGGACTGGGCCAACCTAAGGCATTTTGCCGCCCAACTGCCCGCTGCTCCCCCAATTCCACATACAGAAGTCAGGCGGGCTTACAGTTGAATCTTACTTCATTACTGGCAAGGAGAAAGCACCCCCCCCCACGCCTGTGAGCGACAGTCTAGCTTAGGGGGCACAGGAGAGGCTGTGCCTGGGGCACATAGCTCTGTCTTTCAGCACCTCACCTCCCTCCCCAACACCCCCCATCTGCTGCCTAAGATGACCTCCTCACTCTGCCTAATGGTTGCATCAGTCTTCTGTTTGGAGAGCTGTGGTTTAGTCCTGAGATTCGGTCACACTGCAGTAGTGATTCATGCTCACTCTGCATGATGCTCGGGTGCCAGTCTGATCTTTGCATATTGTTTCTCTGTGAAGTTTTTACATTGTGTGACAGGTTTTTCAACACCACTGATGTTGGCAATTCATTTCTAAAGCAGTAGATTCACCTACCATTTTATATGCACAATGCATTGTATCTTCTGTTTCTTCAACTACAAAAAGAAGGAAAGAAGAATTGAGTGCCCTCTGGCGGCCAAAAGAAAGACTGCTTACTTCAGAATGCATTTTTTTTTAACAATCATTTGGTTTAAGGATTTATTTATTAATTATTTTTTTACAGAGTAGCTGTGCTGACTTCAGTCATGAGGGATCAATACTCCTTCCTTCCCCCTTTTCCCTTTTCCCTAGAATCTTCAGGGCCCATCAATGGGTCATAAATTTAACAAGCCAGATTGCATACTTGAGATCTCCCAGCAGTGAAGGCTTAACTAATCTGTGTTGAGTGGTCTTGAATGTGGACCTTTTGCAACCTGAGATTATGGGTCACTGCTGCTGCTGCCAGTGGTATGATCTTAGGCTGGAAATCCTGCAGCTCCAAAAAAGACTGTGCAGAACAAAAAAGCAGCCCAGTGCTGAAGACCCTTTTGCCACAAAGATCAAAGATCAATCAAATATCTTGATTGATGAGCTACTCTTTGCTGCCGCTATCCACCTCCCCAGCAGATGCTTTCAGGCATGCAACAAGATTACAACTACCTATTGAAGTCGGTGGTGATCTAGAGGTCTCCACTGGTTTTATTAGTCAGGTCAGAGTCTTGTGAACATTTTTCTTTCCCAAGAACTTGCAAGAGCCCTGAAACTGAAGAAAATGTTTTCAACGACTCGGATTCTTTTGAGCCAGACATGAGGCTGTTCCTCCACCCCCTCCTTTGGGTGGCCAAGGGGGGTGGAGTTGGGCAGATGAAGGTTGTGGGCAGGGACTTGTCAGGAGAGCATTGGCATATTTTGCAGGTCAGAGAAAATAACTTGGTGAGTACAGTCACATAGACACCCCTAAGATTGCCGACGTATAAGCAATGAATGCATAAATACCAACTGACACTCTCCGTTTCTTCTAGCGAGTGACTGGTTGCATCCTCTCCAACGTGAACACACCTTCCTTGACCCCAGTGATTGGACAGCCTCAGAACGAGTCCCCACAGCCTGTCTATCAGAACAGCAACCTCTCGAACAAGCCCACTGCAGGTAGGTCCCAACAGAAGGCAGCCAAGTTCTCCAAAGGAGACAGCAAGGCAAATGGGAAACTGCTCAGACTAATGCCTAGAAAGCTCTTGGATCCGTGCTCTTTAGCCACGGGACAAGCAAAGTGTGGACGAGCTCTCCTGGGTCACCTGCAGTTGCTCAATACTACTTGCATTCAGCTTTGAATCAGGGTCTAAAATTAGATTATTAATTCAAATGATGTCTATACAAAATAAACGAAGGCTACAATGCTACACACACTTTACTGAGAAGTTAATCCTGTTGAATTTGGGACTTACCTATGAGTAAACATGCACAGGATAAGACTCTACATTGCTTGCAAATGTATGTAGAAAAGTCCCAGCATATTTTTTTAATGAAACGGGAGGCATGGGAGATTGGGGTTTTGAGTAAATGAGCCACAAGCTGGAGGGATGCTTAGCTATTTCCCACCAGCCATTTTTCTGCTTCCCAGCTGCTTCCCACCCTGCAGAGTTCCAAATGCACAATCCTCCATGCAGGCTTGTAGCTGGGATCCCAGGAACTTCGGAGAGGAATTTCTGAGAGCAATTTTGTTCAGGAAAAGGACTGGTGGAGAAAGGGGCATGAAAACATGTCCTTTCAATGGCTGGGCTCCCAGAGAAGAGGCACATTTGGAGGAGAAAACAATTTATTGCGTGCTCAGGTGGGATGCAAGTAGCACAAACCATACAAATACACGAGAAAGCAAACAATTATAACTTCATAAACCCACAGAAAGATTCAAAACATCCAGTCATAGCATTCTATCTCATAGCATGCATGATCTTTTAAGGCACTTTGTATATATCACCCCACCTCTGGGCATGAGCCCTGTGATCAGGCAGTCTTCTGCATACTCCCTACATGACCAATGCGTGGACAGTTGCCCATATCTCAATCCATGTCTGACATTCCCTTCTTGTAAATGGGCATTTCCCATCCATAAGTTAATTGCCATTGTTTATGCTTCTCATTTTGCCTCAAGAGCTAGATATTTGTTTTGCTCAGCCAGCTCATCCTGTAGCCGAAACCACATAATTAGCCTGTCATTTTATGCTGTCTCTACAATTCAAGCCAAGAGGGCAATTCTCAATTAAAGGTATTTTGTTTTATTTTGTTTTATTTTATTTTATTTTCAATATAGATCTTTTCTTCAGCTACATATACACATGCAGCCATTCCTCAGCTTATGAAGGTTGTTCTTCATTCTTCATTTAAAAAAGAAAAACACCTACTAGGTTTTAGTTCTATATATTTTTAATGTGAAGTATGTAGTTTGTTCATCAGCCTGGAATCCAATGTGGAATTTATGTAGAAGTAACTTCTGCTTAAATCAGTGTAACTTGCTTTCAAGGAGAGGACTGGGTTGCAAAGCGGCAACATTGCATATCTGCAGTTACTCAGGCTTAAATCTCATTCTGCTCTTTTTTACTCAAATGTAATAAGCATTTTTCACTCTGTGATACAGTGCAAGGAAAGAAATGTGGCGATGAAAAAACACTAAGTTTGGCTAAAACCCTCAGAGACAAACAGTGATTTCAAAGGTTTGAAAACGTGCAAAAAACCTGGTTGTTTCCAAAGGTGATAAAGCCGTTGAATTGAGGCAAAGGTTGTTTCCAAGACTGCTGTCGGCCTGTATCAGCTGCTGAGCTCTCTCTCTCTTTCTGTCTTTCCCTCCTTGCCTTTTTCAGCAAAGTTTTTGGGGAAGGTGGGAGAAAGCCTGAGCAGGATTTGCTGTGTTCGTCCACCGATGGAGCGTTTCACCTTTGTGGGTATGTTCCAGAAATGCAGCTGCTTACAGTTGTGACCTGTTATTGAGAAATATATTATTCTTGCCTGGCTCTCATTTCACCCAGCTCAGTTCTTCATCCTGCCCCCCCCCCCCCATCAACATAGCAGTGAGCGGGTTTGCACACAAGAGCCCACAAGTGGTCATGGCAGTGCCTGTCACAGTGCATTCCTGATTTGAGACTAGAGATCTTTCCTGGAAGTCATACAACCTGTCCTGGTGCTTGAGCATCTGGCTGAACATCTACACACTGGTTGAAATTTTGCTCAAGAGAGATGAAATTCCCTTTATTTGCTTCAGAAACATTCAAACAAAACAGAAGAGTTACTCTAAACAACCTTGCTTTAATTAAGGTTGTTCTAAACAAACTTGCTTGAGTTGAGATTCGTGCATTGCAGGAGGTTGGACTAGATGACCCTGGGGTCCCTTCCAGCTCTGTGGGTCTGTGATTCTAATCAGTGTTCTGAATTCATGGACAGAATCTCCCTTCTTGCTGGTCTTCTGTGAAATCTTCACCCTGACACATATTTTTTTCTTTTCTTTTGTTTGTGTTTCTCTAGATGAAAATGCAAACTTGGGAACAGTGATGAGATATGAAGAGATTGGTAAGTAAATATTATCCATGAGCCAAAATGGGTACCATTTCCAAGTTGGGGGGGGGCTGCTCTCTTCCCCAGCAGGGTTTCACACAGGCAAACCAAGTGATGTAGATACTCAAGGCTCAAACTGCTTGTGATTTGAGAATAAGAATGGGGGATAAATTTCTTCTGTTCCCACTTGAATGTGGGCTTTTCTAATTTCCACTTATCCTTCAAATTCCACAGTTCTCTCATTGTTTCAGGGCAGTTCTTCATTTAAATAATGTGTACAAAATGCCCATATCTGTAGAAATAATGTACAAAAAATGCACATATTAATGGAAATGATATACAAAAAATGCATCAGGCATGGTTCACCTAATGAACCCCCCCAGTGTAAGCCCTGCACAAGGGCTTCTGCTTGTGAAATGGGACTCAGAAGGGGGCTTGGAAGACCCCTAGAGAAGTGCCCGGGGGAGAGGAGGCGGATCTTGTTCCTCGGGGCAAGCTGATAGGCTATCACCATCAGAACATCTATTAGCACAGCGTTGAATTCCACCCATTATATTGGGGGGGAATTAGAAAGGGCCCTCCTTGAACAGCATGTTCTTCAACTCAGTCAAATTGTGCAAAAGCTCTTAATACCAAATTAACTGCGCACAGCTGAACTTATACATTAGATAAGATTATTATTATTATTTATTAAATTTCTATATCACCCATCATCTGAAGATCAGAGGGCAGTTTACAATGTAAAAACACAAAAATACATACCATAATAACAAACAAAAACAATACCCCCCCCCCACTGTTTAAAAGGCCATAGATTGTTTAATTAACTAAAGGCCTGAGAGAAGCAGAATGTTTTTGCCTGGCACTGAAAGATATGTCACCAGGGACCAGGTGAGCCTCCTTGGAGCAGCCAAATGCGTGAGAGAATTCACATCAGATTAGACAGCACAGGAACACCAAGCGCAGCAGACAAGTGGCGCTGGGTGTAATTCTGCAAGCCGACCCTGCCATTAGTAAGGCTGAGGCAGCTGCCTCAGATGGTTTATGGTGATACAGGGTGCAGTAACAGTACTAGCCTAAGATAGACGGCTGTCCTGTTGTCAGTGTTGAAGTCGGATTCAGCTGCTGGTCCAGTCAGATTCTGTCTATAGAATTGGGGGTGGAATCTTGTCCCTCAGGCATCAAAATGTCTTGGTCTGGCCACCTACTCCTGCTATGCACAGGATGGTCTGCACAATGTGCATTGACAATCCCAGATTAATTTCATGAATGACTGAAAATAAATGTGCATCCCCTACTTTTTGAACAAATACCGGAGAATGCTGGTAATTGCATTAAAATGACTGACAACATTCATGGGTATAGCTCTTGAGTTTTGAACTGTTCACAGAATTTGGCATTGATTCCTAATAGCTACAGGTTGCCATAGAAAATCCCACAGAGATATAATTTGGAAGACCCAGAGTGACAGGAGTCTTAAGTCTTATTGTTTTGCTCTGGTGGCTAAATTGGCAACGTGGAGGGAGAAATTTCCGTTCTCATCAAGCCCTGGAAGAGCAAGGGTTGCATTTGCTTTAAATTCCAGAGATTGTTTTTCCACGATTGTGCAGTTCAGGGCCTGGGAACAGATATAATCAGAATCATGCTGATTTAGTCAAAGAAGTGAAAACTCATTATTAAGTACTAGATACTTTGTGCAAAAATAAAACGAAATCGGATGTGGCTTGCATTATAGGACATTCCCACAGGAGTCCCTGGTTAAGTAGTGACTAATTTTGATTCTTCATTATTTTCAGAGAATGGATATGGTAGTTTCAATAACTCATGATCTCAAAGCACTTTGTAAACAGTTATCCTTTAGTTTTAGTATACAATTATACAAAATGGATACTGCCGCTTTTAACAGCATAGAATGCTACACAAAAGAACTCTTGCATCTTTTATCAATTTGAAGCTGTAGGGGACGTTTCAGGAAATATGTTTCTCTCTTGAGCTGAGGCAAACTTTCACTAGGAATACTTCTTTTGTTCCATAAATGGACCTGGAAGGAATTTCTGTCCAAGCAAAACACATCCTGCCTGAAGTGGGCAATATGCCCAACCGGCTTCGCCAAACACTTGCTCCCTCCATCACTCCAGAAGTAGTTCAAAAATTGGTCCAAGAGACAGATATGGCAACACTGTGTTCATACAAGACATTTTTACATGTGTGCATGAGTAGTAGATAACTTGCAAGCAGTAGCCCACTTCTGACAACAGAATCCAAGCCGCAGCTTTGTGTCCAAGCCTCTTTTTTGCTCCCTTCTTCGGCACCTCTCTCCCCCTTTCCAGGCCTTTGAGTCTGTGTATCTGACTATCTGTGTACCTTTTTCTCCAGAGCTCCGAATCTTGCTGCTGTGTGGAAGTGACTTGCTGGAGTCCTTCTGCATTCCAGGCCTATGGAATGAAGCTGACGTGAGTTGCTGCTGGAACATGGGTGAAGCTGTGCTCGGTTGTTATTGTGGGGTTTTCTCCCCGCTGCCTGACTCCTGATCATTCACTCGCTCCATTTTCACACATACCGCTGGCCATTCATTCATCATCATGTTCTCATCAAGGATTCTTGCTTTTAGTTTCTTAGGCGGTGGGAAATCACAGACCATATGTTTGCTTCTACCTTTCACTCTGTGTGCATGGCATCTCCACGGCTAGCTCCAACAAAGGCAGAGGGGCTGAATGCGGGGGGGGGGTACGAATGCAAGGGGGGGTACTCCTCTTGGACAGCTTGTCTTGCAAACCAGGGTGCCGCTTCAAATCTCACTGGAGTTGTGCAGATGCACAGGAAGGTCATGAATCTCATTAAATGGCAAGCACACAGCACCTGCTGCCTCGTAGCACAGGAAGCCATCTTTACTCAGATTTATTGTTCATTCTGAACTATCTCCAGGCAAGGCACAGAGTGAGATGGGGGGGGGCATGTGATGTCCCAGTCCCAGGAAGGTTGCAGTCTAAGTATAATCAGTTTTGCTTTATGGACCATTCCGAAGACTCTTCTCTCTTCATCTTTCCGTGCCTCCTTCACAGTGTGAGACTAGGTGGTTCTGCCACTCAGCAAGGCTGTTGCTCACAAGAGTGTACATGTGGGTGATTTTGAAAGGCTCCGTCCCAAACTGCTGCATTAAAAAAGAGATGTTCACATAATTTTAGCCCTAAATTTAGCCTGTGGCCCAAGAGAGCCTTACAGGCCCTAATATGGCTAGAAATGTTTCCATGACACTGCAAGAAATAAGGATTATTTAAAAACTGAAGTCAGCCTGTTGCTGCAAGCTTAATAATAGCCGCAGCAGATCCCTCGTGCTTCACAGGGAGGGTTAGACTCAACCCCTGCCAGTCTGAAAGGAGCCCCGAATACCTCTGAGATCCACATTCAGGGCCCCTCCAGCCTGGTGCTTTATCATGAGGGTATTCTGCCACATGTTCCTGGCACAATAATGGTGAATTTATTCTGTTTTAGTTTGTTCTGCAATGCTTCCCCAGTGCTTCCACATTATTACTATCTGAAGGGACCACCCTGCAACAAAGGCAGAACAAAAATAAACCAGATTGTATGTGGTATTTTAAAGTTACAGGATTTCAACAATACGTTACAAGCTATGCACTAATTAAAATGTTTTTTTGGGGGGGCTATTGGGTTGTTGTTTTATTTTTATTAGGTATTTTGTGGTTTTATATCTTGATTTTATTCTGTGAACCGCCCTGAGACCCTCGGGTATAGGGTGGTATATAAATTCTTTAATAATAATAATAATAATAATAATAATAATAATAATGCAATAATCAAGCTGTGTGAGAGCCCCAAAACTTTTGCAGGCACAAAAGTGGGGTCTCCTGTGACCACCCAAATAGCATCATGAGCATAAATACACAATAAAAAGGGAGTATGGAGGATTGTTAGGGGCATCAGTCATGACACCTGTAAGCCCCTCTCACTGGCAAGAGCAAGGCTGTTGGCATCCATTTGTGCACCTCCAGAGGTGAAGTCCACCTGCGGCATTAGCGGCACCCAAGTGACCTGCCTGGGGTGCAAGCTTGGGCAGTGTGTGGGGGGGGGTCCTGGGCTGCCCAAATGGCAAGACCACTCTCTCGGCCTTGCTGATGTGGCCAAAGGAAAGCGGAGGAAGACGTTTGGCACCGGTTTGGCTGACAGGAGTTGCCAGAAGGAGGTGCACAAGCCTGTCAACCCCACCTGCCCCTCACTTCCCTCTGCAGCACTGCAGAAACCACCTTCTTGACTGTTGGACCCCCACTTGCTTAATCTGCCGCAGCCTGTCTTCACATGCTGGGGAAGTTGCTAACACACCGAGGGTGTGAGATGGGTTTGAGACCCATCCTCTCCCCTCAGCTGTGTCCCCAGTTGCATGCTGAGAGCTTCTAGGAGCCACACAGCTGAGAGCTGAGTGCAGGGCGAACAAACAACCCCAGAAGGAGCACGATGTGTCCCCCACCACAGGTACTACCCCTCCCCCAACACCCCAAACAATTTTGACACCTAAAATCAGATGCTGCTTGGAAGGACAAATAATAAGAACAAGAGAGGATCTGTGAAAAGTCACAGGAGACCATAGTTAGTGTGCCAACTTCAAAGCTGGAGAGAGAGAGAGAAATCCCGACTTCCTTTTAAGTTATTTCGCCTTTCATTACACTTCTTTTGATAAGCAAAGAGCAAGGCTGCTTCCCAAGGTTGCGGGGGTAGTAGAGGAGGTTGGACCCAGAGGATGGATGCATTCCAGGCTAAGTCCAGTCCCTTCCCATCTTGATTCCCAGTGAGATAACAGCCTGCAATGGCTTGAGGGCACTGAGCAGGGAGGCTCCAGGCAGCTGGAGCAGAAAGCTTTGGGCTGGGGAGGGGGGAGGGGGCTGTCCCCTGCACATTTCTTTTTTACAAGGGAATGGGGGTTTTCATCATTGGCAACCCCTCTTTTCCTTTCCAATCCTGACTGAGCCCCCAATTTTCGCCCCTTCCCTTTGCATGCCAACGCCCCACGAGATGGAGAGACAGAGAGATGCTTTTTTGTCTTCTTAGGTTTCCCTCTCCCTTTCGCACATGTATTCACAGCCTGCTATGCTAGGAAGGATAGGAAGTCGGAGGTGGAGGACAGAGGTTTCCCAGGATTGGAAGACAAAGAGAGCAAGGATAAAAACCCTGAGGCAAAGCAGGCCTGGTTTCTCTTAGAGGAGTGTCTGAAGACAGGAAGCAAGATTAAAGCTCAGGGATAAACCTGTTAGAGTGATAAGGGGAAAGAGTCCCTCTTTTTGAGAAAAACTCAGTTTCCTTAAGGAAATTCTGCTCACTTGCCTTGCTGTTGTATTTTTTGGAAACAGATTACAGACCAGGGTCACCACCATTAATCATAGAATCATAGAATCATAGAATCATAGAGTTGGAAGAGACCACAAGGGCCATCGAGTCCAACCCCCTGCCAAGCAGGAAACACCATCAGAGCACTCCTGACATATGGTTGTCAAGCCTCTGCTTAAAGACCTCCAAAGAAGGAGACTCCACCACACTCCTTGGCAGCAAATTCCACTGTCGAACAGCTCTTACTGTCAGGAAGTTCTTCCTAATGTTTAGGTGGAATCTTCTTTCTTGTAGTTTGGATCCATTGCTCCGTGTCCGCTTCTCTGGAGCAGCATAAAACAACCTTTCTCCCTCCTCTATGTGACATCCCTTTATATATTTGAACATGGCTATCATATCACCCCTTAACCTCCTCTTCTCCAGGCTAAACATGCCCAGCTCCCTTAGCCGTTCCTCATAAGGCATCGTTTCCAGGCCTTTGACCATTTTGGTTGCCCTCCTCTGGACACGTTCCAGTTTGTCAGTGTCCTTCTTGAACTGTGGTGCCCAGAACTGGACACAGTACTCCAGGTGAGGTCTGACCAGAGCAGAATACAGTGGCACTATTACTTCCCTTGATCTAGATGCTATACTCCTATTGATGAGGCCCAGAATTGCATTGGCTTTTTTAGCTGCCGCGTCACACTGTTGGCTCATGTCAAGTTTGTGGTCAACCAAGACTCCTAGATCCTTTTCACATGTACTGCTCTCAAGCCAGGTGTCACCCATCTTGTATTTGTGCCTCTCATTTTTTTTGCCCAAGTGCAATACTTTACATTTCTCCCTGTTAAAGTTCATCTTGTTTGTTTTGGCCCAGTTCTCTAATCTGTCAAGGTCGTTTTGAAGTGTGATCCTGTCCTCTGGGGTGTTAGCCACCCCTCCCAGTTTGGTGTGCCAATCAAAGCCAGTGTTTCCCAACCTTTTTTGGGCAAAGGCACACTTGTTTCATGAAAAAAATCTCGAGGCACACCACCATTAGAAAATGTTAAAAAATTTAACTCTGTGCCTATATTGACTATATAAAAAGTACAGTGGTGCCTCGCAAGACGAAATTAATTCGTTCCGCAAGTCTCTTCGTCTTGCGAGTTTTTCGTCTTGCGATGCACGGTTTCCCATAGGAATGCATTGAAAATCAATTAATGCGTTCCTAGGGAAAACCGCCTTCAGACCAGGTCCGGGGACAGTCTGTCCCCCGACCTCTTCTGAAGGCTGGGGGGGGGGGACAAGGGCTTTTCTTCCCACTGCCAGCCTTCAGAAGGCTGTTCTGAAGGCTGGCGGTGGGAAGAAAAGCCCTTCTTCCCACCTCCCGCCCCGCAAGCTCCGGGGACAGGAGGGCTTTGCTGCCGACCGCCAGCATTTTAAAAGCCCCTGCTGTCCCGGGGCGATTTTAAAATGCTGGCGGGCGGGAGCGAAGTCTCCGCTGCCCCGAGGAGATTTTAAAATGCTGGGGGTCGGCAGCGAATGCTTCGCTCCCGCCCGCCAGCATTTTAAGATCGCCCGGGGCAGCGGAGAAGTCTCTGCTGTCCCGGGAAGGCAGGCGGGGGGAGCAAAGACTTTTGCCCCCGCCTGCCTTCAGAAGAGGTCCAGGACCTTGTTCCGATGCCTGGCGGCGGGGTGCGAGGTTCCCGCCCCACCGCCCGGCATCGGGGCATCGTTCCGATGCCCGGCGGCGGGGGGAGAGGTTCCGGCCCCACCGCCCGGCATCAGGGCATCGTTCCGATGCCGGGCGGCGGGGTGAGAGGTTCCCGCCCCACCGCCCGGCATCGGGGCATCGTTCCGATGCCCGGCGGCGGGGGGAGAGGTTCCGGCCCCACCGCCCCGGCATCAGGGCATCGTTCCGATGCCGGGCGGCGGGGTGAGAGGTTCCCGCCCCACCGCCCGGCATCGGGGCATCGTTCCGATGCCGGGCGGCGGGGGGAGAGGTTCCCGCCCCACCGCCCGGCATCGGGGCATCGTTCCGATGCCCGGCGGCGGGGTGCGAGGTTCCCGCCCCACCGCCCCGCTTCGGAGCAGCGGGAGAAGCGATCTCCCCGCAGCCCCTTGCTTCAAAAGAGGTCCGGGGGCAGTGGGGAAGAAGCGCTGCGCTTCCCGCTGCCCCCGGACCTCTTTTGAAGCAAGGGGCTGCGGGGAGATTGCTTCTCCCCGCAAACCCTTGCTTCAAAAGAGGTCCGGGGCAGCGCGAAGCGCTTCCCGCTGTCCCCGGACCTCTTTTGAAGCAAGGGGCGGTGGGGAGAAGCGATCTCGGGCGCCGCGGCGCGCAGGCGCACTGCTCGCTCCTCTTTCCGCACAGGCGCCTTCTCTCGCTCTTTCGCCTCCTTTTCTTTCTCTCTCGATGGTCCGCCTACAAAGGAGCGAGGGAGGCGCCCGCCATGTTTGGATTTGCATCCAGCAGGAGATGCCGCCGCCTCTCCCGCCTCCCTCCCAGGGCACACCAGGCAAGGTCTCACGGCACACTAGTGTGCCGCGGAACACCGGTTGGGAAACACTGATCAAAGCCATTCCTTCCTCTTTCCGCCTTTCCTGATCCAGCCTGTGACTGGAGAAAGCAGAACCTGAATTTGGGCTGCGCCCACTCAGTGCTTTTTTTCTTAAAAAAAATAAAAATGTTTAGGAGTACTTTCATTTTCCTACTCATATTGAAATACTGCCCCTCAATGAGGCCACACTTAGATTCACAAAATGTTTAGGGGTATGCGTACCCCTGCATCCCCCCCCCGAACAAAAGCACTGCACCCACTGTACATATTGCCTGTCACCCACGGGTGCCTGTGATTTCATTATGCTCAGCATGCTGTAACAGTGTCTGTTGTTGAGTAGTGTAACACCAGTGCTTTCTCTTCTGAGTGCTGCCTTTGGTATATAAAAGCCAGGATTTTTCACACTGACGTCTCACACGCCCCTGGCAAGGGATGGGTGGAGGCTTTGCTGATTAATTTCATTTATGAATCACTTCCTATGAAGCATCCCAAAGTGATTTCAAAATACAATAAAAACACATTTAAAACAGTTGCAGATATAAAAGCAATTTCAAATCCAGTACAGATACTGACTGGAGGAGGAATAATAATAATAATAATAATAATAATAATAATAATAATAATAATAATAATAATAATAATAATAATAATAATAAACAAATTAGAAGGCTTGTTGAAAGAGGGAAAGTCTTCAACAAGTGCTGAAAATGCAATAGAGATGGTGCTTGTCTCTAGTTGCAAATCAGGAACCCAAGAGATTATCCAAGTTTTCAGGAATATAAACATGATTCCCCACCCCACACTCACTCCACAGTTGTAATGCATGTTCCTTTTGCGTCACAACAGATGGAGGTGATAGTTGGGGACTTTGGCATTGTTGTTGTGCCACGAGATGGAACTGACACAGACCGGATCATGAACCACTCCTCAATACTCCGGAAGTACAAAGTAAGTCCTTTTGAAAAAATGCATTGATAAATCAATGTTTATCAAGGAGTTCATAATACTTCTCCTGGAGTATTCATTTTTTACTTGCCTTCATTGACTGAAGCCTGCTTGCCTTTCTGTCTCATCTGGGACATCTCTTGAGTCAGACTACTGATTAAGCGTGTGAGCTCCCTTCAGCCATGCCAATTCCTGGAAGCACCTCTACTATTAACAATCAAGTGTGAGAATTGCCTGTCCTGAGTTAGCCCAGCAAGAAGAACTAAAGTGAATTTGCTAAGGATACTGTTTAACTTTTGTCTCCTGCCTCAGCGCAATTTGCTTCTTAATTAAAATTGTCTTTATTTAAAATAATTTCTACTGTGGGGATGCCAAAATGGAAAAGGTCTTGCCTTCATGCTCACCTCAGACAGAGATGAACATTTTAGGGCAGAGCATCACCTGATCATCTTGTGGGAAAGGGCTCCTGTCAATGTTCTTTCTATGGTTCCTCCACAGAACAATATCCTGGTTGTGAAAGATGATGTGAACCACCCCATGGCCATTGTCAGTTCAACTAAGAGCAGGTGCGTCAAGAAAGGGACTGTGGGTGGGGGAAGGGCAAAAATGTTGGTCAGACTGTTGGGAGTCTTTTGGCTTCTGCCAACAAATATTTCTGCAGGTGTTTGATTGCAGAGCCAACAATGTTTACTAGCAGTTCAGAAAATGGTGGCAAAGGATTGGTTTCCCTCTCCCTCACCTCCTCCATTCCTCAACAGGGACTGCAGTCTTTGATGTAAAGTACCCCGTTGACCATTAATGTTCCTGAGCAGCCCATTCCTCCTCTTTCTCGGCTGCTATGTCAGTTGCTAACATGACAATCCATATTATACACACAGAGAGAGGTCAGTGTGAAGGTTTACCAGGGTTATGTAGTTAAGGTAATCAGAAAATAGAATCTAGACCACATGAGATAAAGATATAACTCAATTATATTAATTACAAGGGCACTACAAATGATCCAAGACTACCACACAATTCAAAACAAATGACTGCAAGACTTCGAAGGTAAAAAAGGTAAAGGACCCATGGTTAAGTCCAGTCAAAGGCGACTCTAGGGTTGCAATGTTCGTCTCGCTTTCAGGCGGAGGGAGCCAGCATTTGTCCACAGACAGCATTCCAAGTCATGACTAAACCGCTTCTGGTGCAATTGGACACTGTGACGGAAGCCAGAGCGCATGGAAACGCTGTTTACCTTCCCACAGTGGCACCTATTCATTTACTCGCACTGGTATTCTTTTGAACTGCTAGGCTGGCAAGAGCTGGGACAGAGCAATGGGATCTCACCCTGTAGTGGGAATTCAAACCGCCAACCTTCTGATCAGCAAGTCCAAGAGGCTCAGTGGTTTAGACCACAGTGCCGCAAGACTTCAACTACAACAGGAGACATAATTATCAGTCAACAATGGCTTTCTGCACCTGAGCTTTATACTTTCCTTAAAAGGGGATGACCAATCTTGTAATCTTCAGATGGAAGTGAGTCTTGGACCTTTTCCAGTCAGTCCAAGTCAAAGCTTTCACAGTGGAACACCAATGGAAAACCATCTTTCCATCTGATGTCCAGGGAGTTCTTCAAAGCAATGGACAGATCTGGAGCTAATTGTGCTGGATTGTTGTCTCTCACATTAGTGACCTCGTGGTACCCTTGCATTATTTCTTTAGATATATGCTATATGCTATAGAATGTATTTGTAAGCATCTGGATGAAAAGAGTAAAGATATGGAACAAAGTAACAATCTTTAACTTATTTCTTTTACACACTTCACCATACAACTTGAATACTCCCTATCCCACATTGTATTCTTGAACTTTACCTCATGTATATAGGGCTTCATTTTAAGATTTCACCCAGATAATGACAACTCTCTCTTAGTTTAGCTCAAATTCTGACTTGCTGACATGTGATCAAGACATGACCTGCATGTCCCATATTTTGTTAGCTTCAATGATGTATGAAGCTTCACACAGATTCGGAGCAAATCATGACAGACCAGTTTGACCAGGCTTACATGACCCTGAGATTGTGATTCTTTAACCTGAGATTTTTTAACCTTCTTCACTTTGCTCTTCTTGCAATCCTATCCTCACCCCTTCTCTCGCTTGCTGCAAACCCACAGGAGCTCTGTTTGCTCCAGCAGGCAAAGCTGGAGAGGGGTGACACTATCCAGGTAGGAGAGGCTGTGGAGCCATGAAGAGAAAAGTCACGCTCTTCAGTTTGCAATCTTAACTGCCCTAGAATATGCAGCCAAACCAATTAGCAGATTACAGAATTGAAAGTTCTGTTGAGAAATCCAGCATGGTAATTTTTGCAGAATTCTACAGCCCTTTCAATGGCACGGGCAAATGAAATAATTTGTCAGAACTCTAGTAGTAGAATATGATCTGACTTTTCCTTGTTTATTTCCATGAGTGTCAAAGAAATCTTAGCAGACCGTTTTGTAAACTGTTCTGAGACTTAAGATTGCATAGTGTTGGGCTGCGTGTTCAAATGCAGTTTAACCTTGGAACTGCTGTTTGTATAGACCAGCTCTTATTTGTGTAAAGAAAAGAAAATGGGCCTTGAAAACTCCCCTTTCCTTTTCTGTTCAGTGGAAGACATATGTCTGGGGTTAGTTCAAGAGACATCTTGGATATCATAAGCAGGGGGGCTGAGATAAGGGGACAGGTCTGCTTTCTCTCCTACCTACCACTCCTCCAGTCCCATTCCCCAAACTAGTGGTCCCACCGGCAAAGTCTGCAAGCCCCCAGCCTCAAGAACTATGCTCCATCCAACCAAATAGGCAGGTTAGCCTGTGCAGCTGTCCATCTTCTGAACTGACGGCCTCCCTCTGCTTCTGTTTCTCCCACAGACTGGCTCTTCAGCATGGTGATGGTCATGTGGTGGATTACTTGTGTCAGCCAGTCATTGATTACATCCTCAAGAGTCAGCTGTACCTGAATGCCTCTGGCTAAAGCTGCCTCGGAGTTGCACCATGGCAGCCCTATTACTCCACTCTCCTACGGTTGTTCATCACAATTCTCTCTTTCTCACTCTCTCATTTCTTTCTCATTGCCTCTTGTGTGCATCTGCCTGTTTCACTCTGATGTCCCACCACCACTACCAAATGCCGGGAAGTGCTGCATACAACAACCAACCGAGTGCGCACTCCATCCAGTAATCTTCCCCCTTCTAGTTAGGAGAGAAAATGGAAGAGAGGATCAGATGCCACGTGCCTCAGGGGGACAGCTTTGGTGTCTACCTTCCCAGCATGCATTATTAGGGGATGGAACATTGCATACCTTTCTAGCACACCTTGGAAGCCAGGAAGGTATTTTCATAATACATCAGCTAAATAAATTTCAGTGGGCCTTTTTATTTTTAATGCAGGGGTTTTTTCCTCTCCCTCTATTTTTGGTTTTCTAAAAAATTGCTGTGATCCATTCAAATTAGAATGTGGTTGGCAGAAGGAGATTCTGACCCACTTGGTACAAAGCCCAGACTTTTTAGGTCAAGCATGGAAGATTTAGCTTGAAAAAGAAAGAAAAAGAAAAGAAACTGCCCAAATTCTGGATTGTGTTATCTGAAGGAGGGGAATTGCTGGGGAAAGGATGAAAGAATGGCAGGGAGGCAGAATTTTCCTTTGTAAATAGATGCTTGTTTCTAAGGGCAGGGGATTTAAATGGGTTTCCTGTTGTGCTTTAATCCCTTTTTTAAAAAGAGCACTCCCTAGAGTAGAATAGCGACACAGAGCACACCTGCCTGGGATGCTGCAAGTCAGTAACCCACCTTGCTTGTTCATGGAATGCCTTCAATAATTTGTCCCAGATTGGCTGTGTCCTCTTGGTTTAAAGTGTTTAATTTTCTGCAGAAACTCATTTGGCTTTTCAGCACTTGTGGTGTCCACTGCACCCTTGCTAGTGTGATTAGTTCAGGCTCGTTCATTCGCAGCTGTTTCCCTCTGTCAACATGCCTGCCTCTTTCAGCCTTGTGGGGCAACTGCAGTTAGTTCCACACTCAGGAAGAGGTATTCTCCCCCTCCCCGAAACCTCAAGGAAATACCAGCAGCTGCACTCGATTTAGTTCTCAAAACAGGTAGCCAGTTGTGATTGTGTTATAGCTAGTGAGAGGAATTGTATTATAGCTAGTGAGAGGAATCAGTGAATGTCTGTCAGGAAGAAATGCAATATGGTTCTTCAGAAATAATGTGTCACAACAAAACCATGAGTTGCACTTCCTCACTTGGCCCCACTAAACAGAGTTAGAGGGTAGAGAAATGTGTCAAATGCCTGAGGGGTTGTGTGTATTTGCTTGATCTGGGGAAGTATTCGCCCGTGTGATCCTCCATCAGCGACTCTAGAGTGGTATAGCCTCAGCAAGGCTGTTCCATGTGAGATTTCTACAAGCGTAGATCATCTATTGGCTGGAGTGAAAGCAATGCATACTTCATTCTGAGCTCTTGCATGGCTACATGTTTCTCACTGGACTTAGAGGTGACCATCTGCACTGAATACAGGGTGTGTCTCTGGAAAAATCAGTATTTAGAATCTCTGGCTGCTTCCGCGTTGGTGTCCTTGAGTGCTAATGCAAACCACAACCAGAATTGTAATTGTCTTTCCACACTATTGGGGATATTTCGCTTTTCTTTTGTTTGTTCTGCTGCGTGACATAGATGCTCTGGATGAGGAAGAAGGTCCAAATAACCTGTGCAGTTATTTGAGAGGGGGGAAATCCAGTTGTTGTTGTTTTAAACAAAGAGTCATTTATTTAGTACTAAGCACTTACTCATTTGAGTGTGATTGTCCATTATTACTAACAAAATGTCAAACAACCAAGTATTTAATGTTTCCTTTGTATTGAAAGTGTTGAATCAGGGGGGAAACTGCTTGTGGTGATGAGTGGAGAGGTTTCTGTCTTCTTTTCCTTTAGTAATTTATTGTTAGAGTACTAAAACATTTTTTTTTAATTTAAGCAGTATTTTGCTACTATTTTAATATTATATATCCAGAAAAGCATTTTAGTGCTATTTTAAATATTGATGAAAAATACTGTCTGATTTATAAAAGGGTGCCCACCACAAAGGTTATCATGAATGACAAACTGGCTTGCTCAATATGTCACTGCCCGCATCAAAACCACATATCATTTTTTTAAAAAGAGGATAAGAATAGTGCTAAGGGCATCCATGTATGTGAGGCTTGCACAACCCTTTTCAAGAAGATAAAACTTTCTGGTATTAGAAAAAAAGATGAAGGAAACACTGAGAAAACAAAGAAGGGGTATAAATGGAAGATGTCGTGTGGACTCATGAAATGTGAGTGAATGGGGCATGGGATTCCACCCTAAATACCTCCCTCATTTTCTGTTGCACATTCTTAGGCAGCTGCTACCCCTACAAGTGTATGGCAACCAGAGAGGATAGTGGCACACAGGGATGAGATTTGTGTCGCAACCTGGCATTATAGGACCACACCCCAAAGCATTCACTACCCCTTAGACACTCACTGCTGTCACAGGCAGATGTACAGAAGAGACCGTCTCTTTGATGAGAATTTTTCTACTCACAGAAGGCTTAGAAATCCTACATGACTCTAGATAAGTAGCTATTGCTGTCCTGTTCCGCGTTACCAACTACTATTTCCAAAGCACTCTCTCTTTCACATGCCTCCGTTTTAAGAGCAGCCACAACCTCTTGCTGGAACCCACGATACATCTCAATGCTAAGCTGCAGAGTGCAAAACCAAGAATGTATCTGACAGTCTGTATATGTCTCTGTGTGTGAGAGAGTGAAAGGCAGAAATTGTGGCCTTCCAAAAAGTTTTGAAGGACACTTTTGTGGGGAGGATTAAAAAAATGAGGTTAGCAAAGAAAATAGAGGGATGAATTCTCCATACTCTGGAACAAAAGATGGGTTATTCAGGCCACTTTCCTGTTTCATCCAGTTTAGGACAGCATGCCTTAGGAACATAGCATTGTGGTTCAGATGATGTATATAATGTCTTATTTGTCTTATCTTTGCCTTCATGTGCTCAGTTATGCTTATGGTTAGGGGGGAGGGGGAGAGAGAGCAGGGCGTAGCATAAATCTTGGATGATGCTGATGGGATTGGTTTGGAAAGAGTTGGCAAAAGTGTCAGGCCTTGACCCACACATCAAAGGAGTGGGTTTTCATTGCAGGGTGGGGATGGGGGGGAGAGGGAGGGAAGGTGACTGTTTTACATTACTTGCAATTTTAAACCGTAAAATTTGCTTTGTTTTAAAAAAAAGTTTTAAAAGGAAAAAAAAAGATTTGAATATGCTAGTTAGGTCATTGTTGCTAAAATGGTCATGGCCAAAAACAAAACAAAATGTTTAAAAGGATGTAATAAAAAGAAAATTACACTAATGAAATTTGTGTTGACCTTCACTACTGTTTCCGTTTACTAGGTAAATTTCTGTGGTTTGCAGCATAGCAACTAGTTAATGGGAATTTAGAGAATAGTTTGCTGGAAACAAGCACAGTTTAACAACCTTATTTTATTTTCACTTAGCAATTATATTAAAATAGAATTCTGCCGTTCTTGCTTCATTTGTTGTAGCAAAGGTTGATAGATGGCTGGTTATATGTTGTTAAAGTAGCATGCTGACACCACCTGCTGCTGCCTCTCCCGGTGACAAACAGGCTTATTCGCAGCACAGAATCCCATGTGAAAGGTCTGGTGAACAGGGAAAGGCAGATTAGTCCTAATCCAGAGAAGTATCCAGTAAGATTTCCATGTGCACCTGGGTTTTTATTGTACTTTTATTTCTGTAGCACAAGAACTCTCCCATGTAGCACCAGAAGCTGATTTCAAACTCTGGTGGGAGAGCAGTTGCTAGAGCAGGGCCTTTGTGTGTAAAAAACAAGAAGAGAAGCTTCGACCTCTTCTGGACTGAAAGTGAATCATGCTTGTCTGGCAACTACAAGGTCCTGTCTTTCATCTGTCTTGTGGACTGAGCAAAGAAGCTGGCCAGGCTGATGCCAGGACTAATCACTAGGTAGCAGTGGTAGAATGGTTGAGGGGGGATGATCACAGAATCAAGGCATTGACCAGGATCCCTCAGTCGCTGGGGCACACTGCAGCTACCTTTATCCAAAGTTAAAGTCGATTTCGCCACCACTAAAATGTTCACACTGTACGGGGCGGGGGGGGGGGCGGAGGGAGAGAAGTTTCCAGAATGAGAAACACAATTAAGGAAATAAGCAGCCTTCTCAAACCATGGGGATTCATTATTTATTTTGCCCTTTTCACCCAACCACAACAGAATACTTGATATTTAGCACCATTATACACGTGTATGAAGTACTGTTTGAAGCAAGGGCATAGTTCATGTTTCTTTTTCCAACTACAGCCTTGAACGATAACTTAAAACAGAGTTATAAAATGGAAACCAACAGAATTATTCAGAGGGATTTTGTCTGTCTCCCACAAGAAAGTCTGTCCCTCCTTTCACTGAGATGGTGATTCAAAACAAGAAGCTTAGGCTGCCATCCTAGACCCAGTTACCGGGGGGTAAGTTCTATTGCATTCAGTGGGACTTTCTTATGAGTGTATATAGGCTTGCACTGCTAGGCACCTTTGCCAAGCTATAGCCTAAGGCCAGGTAGGTGGTTCTCACTATATAGCCACATGAGGTGAACAAAACACTCTTGAGCTTGTTGTAGATAATCTACTAGAGACACCCCCATTTTCATTGTAAAAAAAGGGAGGAGAGATGAAGCAAGAACATATTAAATCACCATTGCTGCCACAGGCTTCTACAAGCCTATATTTATTTTCTACAAGTAACTCTCAGGGCTTCCCCTGCCCCCCCCCCACACACACTCTGAGGGACTCTGGGAACTGTAGTTTGATTAGAGTATTGAGAATATGCTGTTCGATATCACTGATTTCCCAGAATTCCTGTGGTGAGGCAATGCTACTGAACCAGTTTTAGGCCTATGCAAGCTCTCGGTGGCCCAAACTTATCCCATCCTTGAGGTTAAGAAACATTAGATGTTAAGAAAGATTTTCAGAAGGAAAAGCAGCCTGCGAGATGCTAAGTGGGAGAGTGAGAGTTAAGAGTAATTCATGGTAATAAAAAGGTTTTAATGTAGCATAAGTTAATTTAGCCGGGTTTAACTTCCATCTTATTACATTAGATCAGGCTGGGAGAAAGGAAGGGTAGGATGGCGGACACGTAGTTGGGAGTTCAGATTCAGCTGCTGGCTCCGAGCTTTGAACTGCGGCCACACACTAACCCAGGGCACATACCTTCTCCTAATATATTCAGCAATAATCATGTCTCTTTAAATTCAGCTGCTTTGTCGTGCAGCCTGCAGGTGTCCCTCTGGCTTCCCAGGAGTGGGACAACTAGGATAAACTTTATGTCTCCATGCTTGATGCACCAAAGTGGAACAGCTGCAACATAAACCAGAATGATGCGGCTGCTCTTCCAGCCTGATGAACGGAACTTTAAAAAGATCTATTCAGCAGTCACATGTGGCTTTTTGAGTCCTGAGAGGCTTGGGTCTTTTGAAGCACTCAAAACCGTTTGCCTAACTCTGATGCTTTGTGTATCCAAGATCTAGCAGAGTACATGGAAGTCTTCTGTCCCAGCTTCCAAAGGCTTCAAGGTTTCTCAATGGGTGGTATGTTGTAGCAACTTGGGGGAAGACTATCCCGGATTTGCTCCAGGTTCTTGATATCATCAAGGATCTCAGTAATGCTCCATTCCAGTGTCTGAATCCGAAGTTTCTGACGCCTGGCTGTTTCCTCCAGTTGCGCCATCAGTTCTTTCAACTGGTTGTTTCTTGTTCTGACTTTACTTAGGTTCGTTTCAAGCATGATCACACCTTGCTCATCCACAAACTCAGGTTGGTCTATACGAGGAGGTAAAATAAAAGGAGAAGTCAATAGCAAAACCTTCTGAGCAAGCATCCCTCAATCTACTTGGTTGTTGAAGGAGCTGTCCCATAATCCACAAACCCAAGACTTTATAATAGTGTTGCCTAAACTTCTGATAGCCAAAGCCCACTTTTGTCTGAATTAAATTTAGAGGCAGGTTCACTCTACTTTCAAAATACTGACTTTTAGAGGCTGAAGGCAGCAGGTACCTCCTACACCTTCAGAGGACTCTGTGTGAGAAAGTGTTCAGAGTATGACCCCTGGTCGGAAGAAGGCACATCCAGAGCAATGATTCCTGGAGGGATGCAATAGACAGTTTCCTCTGAAGGGAGGTGATCGAACCAGCAGGTAGTGCAGAGATGCTGTGTAAGTTTCCAGAGAATGACCGGGAAGTAGCCAATTTAGGGATCAGAGAAGCATTCACTTAATTCCAGCTTCATTCACAAATCCCAGTTTGACACAATCAGATACAGTAATTAAGCCTATTGTCCATTGATAAAACTGCCATTGTAATGTTATTTATTCACTTATGGATCCCGGATTCTAGAAGAAGATCATCAGCTTTATTTAATAGGTGCACATCGGGATTCAGAAGTGGTCAATAACCCTGGATTCTCTGCTATCCCTTGCTGAAAACTGACCCTAAATTAGAAGATCTTAGAAAGGCTTTCATTAAGGTAAGTTTCCAAACAATGTTCTCCATTGTATGTGGGACATTTTTAATGATACTAAGCAATCTGTGATTTTGCATTTGTGGATAGATTTTGAATTGTAGACTGTTATTTGTTTACAACAAATCAACAAAAACAGTCTTCTTGTAGTAAATAAATATGCAACCATAGACAACAAACAATGTTGTCATCAAATTGCGAGAAATTCATAACCCATACTGTCTCTCTGCAGTTGCAGCCAAGAAAATCCAATCAAAAGCTTCTCCAAAAGGCTTAAATGTGATGGCAATCGCGTAGTATGAGTGGTAAAATTTATGATAGGAATTTCCCTATCAGTCACCCAAGCTATTTATAAATCTAGTCCATGAGCTACCCTGTGATGTTTAATTCGGTAATTTTATGCTCATAAAATTTCTAACAGACTGCAATTTGTGATGACTAATGTTGTTTAAAAAACTTGATACAATCTTATTTATTTAGTGACATTTGCATTCCACTCTGCTCCTCACTTGCTGGCAACAGAAATATACAAGCTAAATGATGCTAAGCAACTTCTCCAGAAGCACCTGCATTTTCCCCATAGGTAACTGGATTTCCCCTGTCCAAGCAATTTGAGAACGTTATGACTCCATCTACTACATGTGCTTGCCCCACTTTACATCCACAGCCTGGATGGGATATCTTAATTTGGCACACGTGCGCAGAGTCCGGGGCACGCACTGCCAATGTTCCCCCTGCCATGCATATTGGGCCTGCAGACATTGAGCTCTGCATACAAAGCCTTTCAAAAGGCTCTGTGTGTGATACCTGGGTGTCAGACAGGACAGGTATGCATAACTCCTCCCATGCAAATTCATACTTACCTGAGGGGACTGTATTAACTGCTATGTCACAGGTGTGTGATCATGGGTGTGATTCTTATAACTGAAATAACCAGCAGCCTCAAAAGAGTGCAATTTATCACACAACAGTCCTGCAGCTTCATGAACTGGTCCTGGTGCATGTCATGTGTTAGAAATGAAAAGATCTTGGATCTGAAGTCCTAACATTGGTAACGAGTTAAAACCACAATATGCTTTGACACACCCGCAAAATGCTGCACATATTGAAGAGCAGCTGGTATGTGGAAAAATATAAGGCCACAGAAATATGTTCCCACAGCAAATGTATGTTTGCCATCCCACATTTGCCAAGATGTGGAATGTTGAATGTGGAGAGGGTAGAGGATCAAGAGGGATTCAGCACTCCAGTCTCCTGCTTGCCTGTTTCTCCCCACATACAGCCTGACCTCTCGTTAGTGTTTCAGACCACCACTGGGTTAGGGACTCTCTCATGATCCCATGGTTTCATCATACAAGGGGAATAAAAAGCTATCAGTTAAATTTTATGTCTTTATTTGAACCCATAATATTTTGTCCAGTTGTGTTTTAGACTTCTTCATCCTATGTAAGCGGCCTCTATATTTCTCTCTGCAACAGAGGATCCAACACTACAGGGATTTTCATTGTGGGACAGTTGCATGTGGTGCCTTCAATCTAGGCTGTCAGTGCCCAGCTAATCCTTAAGTACAGTGGTACCTTGGTTCTCAAACTTAATCTGTTCTGGCAAGTCCGTTCGACTCCCGAAACCATTGAAAACCAAGGCTTCTGATTGGTTGCAGGAGTTTCCTGCACCCAAGCGGAACAGCATTGGATGTTCGGCTTTTGAAAAAGGTCCACAAACCGGAACACTCACTTCGGGGTTTGTGGCGTTCGGGAGCCGATTTGTTTGACAACTAAGCCGTTTGAGAACCAAGGTACCACTAACTATATAT